CCCCCCTCCACCTCCAAGGGCTGCGCGTCCCCGGCGGGCTGCGCGCTCCCGACGCGCCCCGTGCTTGGCGCTGTACTGCGCCGTAGGGGCGGGGCCTCGCCCTCAAGACACGCCCACTCCCCAACCCACCGCCTGGCGTAGCCCCGCCTTTAACAAACCTCTCCGGCGGTGTGACGCGTGCGCGGAGCAGCCAATCAGAGCGGTGCGTGGTTTTCAAACGGGCGGCGCGCGGGGACCGGCGGGACCTGGACCGGAGCCGGGACCGGGACCGGGACCGGGGCCGGAGAGCGGGACCGGGGCACTCACAGTGGGGGTCTGGGCAGCCCGCATGGCCCCGGTCCCGCTCTCCGGCCCCGGTCCCGCTCTCCGGCCCCGGTCCCGGTCCCGGTCCCGGCTCCGGTCCAGGTCCCGCCGGTCCCCGCGCGCCGCCCGTTTGAAAACCACGCACCGCTCTGATTGGCTGCTCCGCGCACGCGTCACACCGCCGGAGAGGTTTGTTAAAGGCGGGGCTACGCCAGGCGGTGGGTTGGGGAGTGGGCGTGTCTTGAGGGCGAGGCCCCGCCCCTACGGCGCAGTACAGCGCCAAGCACGGGGCGCGTCGGGAGCGCGCAGCCCGCCGGGGACGCGCAGCCCTTGGAGGTGGAGGGGGGACACATGCGGACGGACAAGCCCAGCTCCCTCCCCCCGATCTCGGGGCCTCCCCAGCGGCTACCCCGAGGGAACCAGCCCTGCACGGCCCCCCAGACCTGCCCCGACCCCTACCCGAGGGAGGAGGGGGGGAAACCAGCCCCAAACACCCCCCTGGGGGTCCCGCTCCCCCCCAGGAGTCAGGGCAGCACCCACAGCGGTGCCCGCGGCTCTCGGGTTTATTGCTCCCGCGGGGAGAGGTACAGCGTTGGGGTAAGAGGGACCCGGCCCAGCAGGGTCCGACCCGCTGCCGGGGTAAGGGGTGGTGGGGGGGTTGTCCCTGAGCGATGCCGGGGGTCCCAGCCACGGTGGCTCAGCCAGGCCAAGGCCGGCCCGGGGAGACGACGAGGTCGCAGTCGAAGTCAGCGAAGGTGGCAGGATCGGGTGGGGGCTGCTCGAGGGGGCGCGGGGCCACCGCCATCGCCACCGGGTCCTTCTGCAGCAGGTCGGCGTCGAAGGCCACCCCGCGGAAGAAGGGGTGGCCCTGGAAATGGTGGAGGTAGCGCAGGCGGCGCAGGGGGTTGTGGCACAGCAGCTGGGGACGGAGGGAGGACAGTGAGCGGTGAGGACCCCAACATCCAGTCCAGGGGGCCAGCAGGGACCCCAAAATCCAGGTGGGAGGGTTACCTCGGCAAGCAGCCGGGCCAGTGCGGGGCTGAACGCAGGTGGGATCTCGTAGCTGCTCTCCTTGACGCGCTCCAGCATGGCCACATGGTCCCCCGCTGGCGCCACAGGGAACTGGGGGGCAGGGAGCAGATTTAGGGGCTCCGTGGAGTGCCCGTATTACTCCCCCCCCCCGCCGTGGTCCTCACCTCCCCGCTGGCCAGGGCGAAGAGCAAGACTCCCAGGGACCACCAGTCAGCTGTGTGGCCGTAGGGCCCCCCGCTCAGCACCTCCGGGGCTGCAGGGATGAGCGGGTGAGTGCCTGGGGGGTCCGTGCCCCCCACCGCAGCCCCCCGCTGCCCCCTTACCCATGTACTGCAGGGTGCCGCAGATGGTGTGGGCTCGCTCGCCCCACCGCAGATGCCGGGAGAGGCCGAAGTCGGTGAGCTTGAGGTGCCCTGTGGGGTGAGACACTGCGTGGGGACCCATGGACGGGGTGTCCCAATGGACGGGGTGTCCCCACGAATGGGGCATCCCCAAGCCAGTGCCACCAGACTCTTACCTCTCTCATCCAGGAGGATGTTCTCCATCTGAAACGAGACAGGTGCTGGGGTGGCCTCTCCATGTTGGGGGGTTCGGAGACCCCCCCACCCCATCCTCCGGCCCCCCAGCCCCGCTGCCACCCACCTTCACGTCTCTGTGCATGATGCCCAGGTCGTGGAGGTACACTGGGGAGAAGACGGAGCCGTCAGAGTGGCGGGTCCCCTCCCGGCACGGTGCCCATTGCCACCCCTACGGCACCCCGCAGGCAGCTGCCCACCCTCAGGAATGGCTGACCCTGCCTGCTGGTCTCCATCAGTGGGGACAGTGGTGGCTGTCCCTGGCACAGCGGGCCACTTACCCAGCACCAGCACCAGCTCAGCTGCAAACAGGCGGACGGTGGCTTCGGCAAAGTGCCCGGCGGCACGCCACAGCGCGTGCAGGTCTCCGGTGCTGCAGTAGGTGCACACTGCCGGGACGGGCGATGTGCCTTACCGACGGGCTGCCCTGCGGGGCTGGGCTGGCACGAGGGGCAAGGGCACCGGGGTGGCAAGGGCACCGGGGTGGCATGGGCACAGGGAGCCTGGTGGGTCACTGGGGCCATGCACCAAGGTGATGCAAGTAGTGGGGCCATAAGGGCGGCGAGGTGGCACAAGCACCAGGACCACGGACTAAGGTGACATGGGACCACACTGGCACCAGGACCACGGACTAATGTGACATGGGCATGACTAAGGAGGCACAGGAGCATGCAAGTACCAGGGTCACGTACCATAGCGACATGGGCACCAGAGCCATGTGGCCACTGGGAACACGCAAGCACCAGGGCCACATGAACTCCAAGGCGGCACAGGCACCATGGCCACACGGGTACCAAAGTGACACGGTCCCCGGGATCACACAGGCACTGGGAACACGCAAGCTACGTGGGCACCGAGGTGGCACGGCCATCAGGGCCACCGGGGCCAGGCAGGGACCAGGACTGGGGTGCCTTATTCACCCCCGTGCTGGTCCCTGCCCCACTGTGGCTCGTCCCCATCCCTGTCCCCCCTGTCCCTGTCCCCGCGCTGGCTGTGGGGTGGGAGCCAGGAACCGAACGCCTGGATCCCCACGGGGCAGCAGGCAACACGGGGGGAGCGTGCGCGTGTGCGGGGACACGTGTGCGGGC